TGTGTTTTGTGGATTATTGAGGATACTTGTTTCTGCTCCTAGCCTCAGGCTCTTCATTAACCATTAATAGTTTTATACTACTCTGACTAAGCAGAGGACACTTTAGAAATCTGTACTTCTCTGAGTGAGAAGTACTGTCAAAATACTCTTGGCTGATTAAACTGTAATTTTAAGAGTCATGAAATTTCAGGCAAAAAAAATCCTCAAGCATAAACTATCCAAACCCTGCATTTGACAGATGTGGAAACTGTGTTCCAGAGAAATTAAGTGACTTGGCCCCAGGAACACAGCTGACTAGTGTCCTCACTTAAAGTAGGGCTGTACCCTCATTTCCAGTTCAGTTCTCTTTCTGTGACATACAGCATTTCAATGACTTTGGCCTTCAAGAACTCCAATTAGCACAGCAGTTAAGAAATAACTAGGTATTATCTTCCTGAACTTTTCTGATCTTATGAAATCATGCAGTTTATAATAGCTTATTATTTTACTCATTTGAAAGAAAATTCAGGGGCAAGGTCAATGGGAGCAAATTTGTATTTAAATTACAACTTGCAAAATAAATTTTAAGTTAATACCAGATTTCACTGCTGACTGTCGCACATTTCATGTCCCTCCAGGTATGAAAGCCTTCTGGGTTTTTCTTTTAGCTTCTGAGGTTTGTCTTGGTTGGCTAATGGATACTGAACATATTTGTTTGCCTACTTAATTCAATAGTTAATGACTAAGAAAACAGTCCATCATTAAGAGTATTGCATTTAATATCTCTTATTTCCATCCAAATTATGTTTTAAGTTGAAAATGAATTTTTTTTTTGGAAAAGTGAGTAAGATTCTGGCCTCATTATTAGAAAACTTCAAAGCTAGAAGATCTCTTGGATTTTGAAGCATGATAAAGAGAAACAGGTATTTCTTAATGGAGCTATCTGGACCCAAATGGTCCCGTTTACTGAAAGAGGCAATATAATTAGAAACAGCCAGTGGAGAACAGTGTACTTAATCAGTAGCAAGGACCTGGAGATGTGTGCTTCTTTCATATCTGACCATGCGGGCTACCATCCACTATCTGAGGGCTGCTTCTTTAGTGCACCCCTCATTCTCACTCCCCAGTTTATACACAGAAGTGCCAACTACACAAGGTAATTTACATACTTAGCACTTTCCCACCTAATGAAGTGTGAAGGCAGAAAGTACCACTCTGTTACAGATATCTAGTATGTTTTTTCATGTCAGGCTTTTAAAGTGGCTTTCTTCTTGGTCATGATTCTCTGAGTAACCTGAGTAATCTAGATGCCCTTGAGGATGGTCCTGGTTGAAAATCTCTTAATATACCCACTGAAATAAAAAGTAAAGCCCTTGCCTCCTGGGTTTCAACGCTGCATGAGTAATAGGTTAGTTAGATGATATCTGTACCTACGTGTGAAACAATGACCTGCTCTAAGTTGCTAGGTAAGTGGAAGGTGATGGATGACTTCCAGGTAACTCAGATACATTTAAGGCATTTACCACAAACTCAGCCCAGAGTGGGAGGAACTCAGTCATTTGTGTCCTAGTTGCAGACTCATGCAAAAGAGATGCCTTGCATCACTGCAGAGTGAGCCACACACTGGGAAGCCATGCTATTCTGTGCCCCAACCCATAGGTGGGTGCCCGTATCCTACTGTTGACATATGGTGCCCCATCATTAGCCAGATGGCAGAAACACTAGAAAGGACTTGCACACACATGAATAATCTAAGATGGACTGTGGGAGGCCATTAGGAGAGGCTGGTGGGGGTTCAAAACTGGTGTGTGGCTGTGGAAGCCTGAACAAGAGTTTAACAGCCAGAGAATGCAGCCTTTCTAATCACAGCAGAAAAGATCCTGAAGTGGCCATCAGATAACTCATGGCCTTGAATTTTGCCTGGTCCTTTGGTACTTACATCTTCTGCCAGCTGGCCAAGGCATACTGCCTAGCCTTTTCCAGAGACTGTTATGGTAGCTAGACCAACTCAGGCCCCTCCAGCGAGCTCCCAACACAGCCCTTAGTCAACACCAGCCTGTGAGCCAGCACCCTAGATGATATCCTTTTAATAGAGTCATTCTCAGGCAGAAAATAATTGAAGTATGCTGATGGAAGGACAGGAGCAGACATCCAAACAGGGCAGGTATGGCATAGCCTCATGAGGGACAAGAAGAATGCAATGACTAGGAAATGGAGACCTGAGTGGTAGCACACATTCTGCACTGGCCAACTGCATGGCATTGAATGACTTGCCTTACTGAATTTATTTCAGTTTCCCAATCTGTAGAATGGGAAAGCTGGACTGGATTCCTGAGGCCTCCCTAACTGAGACATGACAGCCTGCACACAAACTATAGGGTGTGGCTCTGCAGAGAGGGTTTGGGAGAGAACTGGTCTTTCATTAGGAGCCAGTTTAATTTTCTGTCTTAAACACCAAGCTATATGTTTTAAGACATATTGGATTTTGCATTCTATAGAAGGATTATAAGCAGATGGACACATCTGAAAGAAAAAACATCACTTGTAGACAAAATCAAGGTTTCAGTAGTAGGCTAATGCACTACTTAGGGCTATAAACCAAAGATCAAATATTTCTGATCATAATGGGATACCTGCCCTGTGATTTCTGATTTGGGAATATTTTTCATACATCTTCCTTCCCACTTCCAAACTCCAGTCATACTCACAGAAGGTTTAGATTCTTGACCCTGCAGCAGACAGGGTCAAGAATTGCTACTTTGGCATACTAGTGTTCTTTCTTAGATCTCCTGACTTTTTAATTCCAGGCTCAGAGGAGGCACCTGAGTCCTTCTTTCTACTCAGATCCCATTTTTGCCTCCTCCCCTTCAGGGATGTGATACTTCCAACTGGCCACTCCAACCCTCACCCCTCTCCTCTTTTCCGGGGTGCTCCAGTCTTACCTTCCTCATAGGCTTTTCCTTCTCTTTCAAATCTTCCCAGATCTTCGTTATCTAAAATATTAAACCAGTTTTCTCTTCTCTACTTGCCTTTTAGTCACCCTATAATCTTTTTCCTTCCCCCTGCCCCCATATCCTTGGAGTAAATAACTTACAGCTCCTATTTCTACTTCCTTTGCCTCTTGCCTCTACAGTCTGGATGCTGTCCTGGAGCTGCTCTCCCAATGCCAAGGCTTCCCATGCTCCCCTCCTTTTTGTCTCAGACACTGGATATAACTGCAGGCCAGAGACAGGGCTTCACTCCACTAACCTCCAGGACCTAGTATTGACTGCGACTTAGGGGCTCAGCAAACCTTCACTCAACACTGAAGCTCTTCCGGCGCCGGCTCTCCCTTCCATACACTTCTCGCCCACCCATTCTTTTGCTTGCCCTTTGCCTCATTGGAATCCAAGCCTGCTTCACCTCATTGAGCTCAGTAACAATATTCTGGCTTGCTTCTTCACTTCTAATTCATCCCCTAGAGCGTTGTATCTCTTATATCTTCCCCAGAGCTCACTGGCAGTTCCCCAGGGCTATTGATCCAAGCTCAATCTCCTCAAGTAATATCTTACAATGTAATTAATTATTGCATAATAAAAAGTTATAGCTGTGATAGTGAAACATTTAAACTGAACAAAAAGGTATCCAGAAAGGTAGGTCTCTCTCCCATCCTGTTCTCCCAGTTTTCTTTCCCATAAGCAATCACTTTATATTCATCCTTGCAGAGATAGGCTGCAACATACAAGTGCTTCCTGATTAGGCCAGAGCTTACCACCATGCCTGGGGCCCTGTCTTGAATCCCAGTCAACTGGGCTGGGATTCTAATGGACATTTCTCCCAGAGTGGGGCTCTACCATCCAGCCTCCCAATCACCAGCTTGTGATTTGCTTCAACCTGAAGGGGCCTGAGACTACCCTTGCTCTTGCTAGACTGCCTGAGGCTTCCGGTGGCTGTGATGGACCTACAGACAAGATACTCTCCTGTGGCTACTGTGAGGGATTCCAGCACTGGGCACCCTTGTTGGAGTGAACCTCCTTCCTGGTCCACCCTCCAGTCCCAGTCCCACTAATCTTGACTTTGCTCTTCTGCCCCAACCAGAAATTGAAGGAAGTTCTAACTGGTTTTGCTTCTGAACCCTGAACAGGTAGGTTGTGTGACCTGTTGACCTGGTTTGACAGGAGATAAGAAAGAGATGACTGAGCTCCTTTGCTTCGGCACTATTGCTGCATTGTCTGGCCTCATTCCTAAGTATGGCCCCTTTTCAAATGATGCCCTGGAGTGATCTGAGAAAGAACTGGATGTTCTTCAGGATTCTGTCAGCTGTTAAAACCCTGTGTGCATGAACAGCGATAACATTTGGGTGCAGAAAGCTAATGTCTTTGTGGCCAAAGTGCATTTCCTCCTATCCAGGGAGAGCAGTGACTCCAGGAGCCACACTCTAGCTCTGCTTTTACTAAGCAGTAATGACAGCCTTGGATTTGGAAAACGTCTGTGTCATGACATCAAGAGTCTTAAAAACTGCCTCTGGGGAAATAGAAATTACTGTTGTAGTTAGATGTAAAGCAATTTAAGTACAAATAGGAAGATATTTTGTTCTTTTAAAGCCACCTAATGAACTATAGCCTTGGAATGGTAGTTGCTGAGGGCGTGCTACATTAGGAACACTTGGCATCATTTAAAATATTGATTTAGAAGCAAATTTTGATCTGTTAAATTGTGATATATTACAGATGACATCAGTGAGAGAGATTATCCTAATCTAGGGTTTCTCAATGTATGGTCCACGGATAAGAGTCTTGCAAGAAGAGATTTATTGATGAAATATATGTGAGAAAAGAAAAGCTGGATGTAAAGCATCTCACTCTGTTGTATATTTGCAATGTGTATTAGCACATTAAAGAATCTGAGAGGTCCCAGAGTAAAATAACTTCTAAACTTCCTTATTAACCCAAACTTCTTTGGCAATGAAACCCTTTATGCACAATGCCTACTAACAGACTGGAGAATGAAAGTTAAGAGGAACACATACTGGACAATGCTGCTTCAATTTTATCCACGTAAGATAAACTATTTATTTATAAAGAAATAATTGGTGCCTTTAAATATGTCATGTAATCATTATAATACAGACCAATAGCATAATATGCATTATATTATAAACCAATAACATAATATAATGAGTAGGTAAAATATTTAGGGGAACCTAACCAAGTCAAGCTATTATCTAATATTATCTATGATCTAATATTTACATTCATATCTTTAAAAAGCCAGTTGCTTAAAAATACATTTCTTTACAAATTCAAGTCCTGTTATCTGGTACCCTTCAGTTCTTACTTTCCAGAAACTTAAGAAACTACCACACAGGAAACAGAAGGTCAGGTATTGGTCCTTCTGACATTTTTTTCCTTATAACTTATTTAAGGGAATGTCAACCTCATTAAGTCAAAGAAATTCTTTTCATTACAATCAGCTTCTTGCCCTGAGGGGTACAAGCTAAATCTTCCTCACAGGTTCTTTCAAAATGCTATTATGACTGATAAGTTTTACATTAACATGTCTTTCTGCTATTATATCTCATATACATACTTTTTAAAAATGTTCAAAAATAAAAAAGTACATAAAATTGGCATTTTATCATGAGAACAATTATATTTATAAAATAGGACAAACATTAAAGCTTCTATAACTTGTTCATTCACAGGCAGCTCCTCCAACGTTATTCAGAGAATGGCTCTAGAAGGCAGCTTCTTGGAGAATCTTGATGCCCAGGTTTTGTGGTTTCTTTGTTTAATAGGCACTGCAGTGGAAGAGAAGACACAAATAAAGTCTCCCTGGTTCAGGAGCTAGAGGTTGGCTTCTGTCTCCAGGAGAATGGAGAGAAAGAGGCAGAGTGGGGCCGGGCAACATGGCAGCGGCTGTTGTGGCTTTGCTCCCTAAGAAGTAAAAACGAGCCTCTGTTTGAGGGTTGGGGATTCTTGGGAGGCCTTGGAGTGGAGAGGACAAAAATGCTGAGTCTGGACAATAGTCAGTGGTGAAATATTTCAAAATCTGAAGGTGAACAAATCCTCTTTTCAGACTTATGAAAATTTCTGGAAATGAGAATATCTAGAAAATAGAAAAGCAATGGGGAAAGAGACACAAACAAACCATACACTCTCACAAAAATGTGTAGGCATTACATTAAATTACAGTTAGTGTGAGCAAAGCTTAAGAAAGTGCCTGAAGGCAAGTAACTGGAGCTAAGTATGACTAACTTTGAAGAAAACCAGAGTTTAAGTAAGTAGTTCATAGGCTTTTTGATATAACAGGTAAGTACCTTAAAAAAATCAATTTGGGAGCTGACTCTTTTCTTTTATGCCAATAAGGGTAGAATTATTTGACTAGAATTTATTATCATTATTACTATTGTTCCATTTTTTTCAGTAGTAGTCCCACCTGTATATACACAGTCCAACATTTGTTTATTTTTTTCTTATTTTTAAAATTGACATTTGGCTGATATAACACAGTCCAACATTTACATGCAATTCTTGAAACTGCATTCAGCATTGTGAGAAAACTCAGGACATTGTCCTAATTTTTCTCATTTTGCTAGGGTCACTTTGTCATTAACCAACTGGTTCAGATTAGTGTTTTAAAATGTTAGCAAAATCTCCTAAACATGTGCAAGATAGTATTATTATCTTCAGAGAAATTCATGTTGGTGTTACCCTGAATGTACTTAAAAGCTAATAGATTCAACATACCCTGATCATTTATGGATAAATACTTACTGGTAAATATTTAAAAATACAGTATAAAGAGCATGCTTTAGTACTGAGAGCATGTGGAGGTAGTAACCAGAAAAGGGTCGTGTTAATCAGGGAATATTCTTGCCCTTCTCTTTAGGAAACAGGAAACTGGAGAGGTTGGAGAATATCAAGGTAAAACATATGAATAAACCCTGACCCTGCTTGCCTTTGGGGTCAAATGACAGTTGTTACATGGTTTTGATCTTGTGTGTTTTTGCTTAAATTTTCAGGAGAGTCTGATGGGTGAACTCACCTGCCTGGACCATGTGTCAGCCCCTTTTGCCATTAGCTGTGGCAGGAGGGGCCAGTCAGAGCCATGAAGGACAAACCTGGCTGACCACGCTCACCTTCCGGCAAGTGCTTGGAGCTCCCTCTGAAAGGGTATTCTTGATAATTTTCTGAGAAGCTGGTAGGGACTGAAAATTCCTACTCACATTCATCTGCCATTCTTAATAAGTTTGATTCTTATAAGCTTGTTTACAGCTCCATTTTTCAGGCAAGATTTAAAGGGGTGGGTCTTAAATGTGGAAGAGTCTATGATCTGGTATCTTTTCTGAGCAGAAGAAGATAAAAAAAATAAGTCCTGAGATTTTTTGATTTACTGATGAAGCTGATCATTTTTTTTCCTAATCGCCAATATTTTAAACTGAGAGTATTTCTATTTCCTCCATTTTATGAATCAGTTGAATTTTGTTAACTTTGTGAAATGGTTGGAAGGTAGCGAGAAGAAAGCATAAAAAAATAGTTCGTAAAAAGATTATGTGGATTATCGGAAAATAAGGCAATAAAAGAAAACAAGGGGGTATAAAAATTATGGTATTTTTTTTAACCAGAGTTAAAAAAAAGCAATGATAAAAAGCTATGGTAAATTGAATATATTAATTAGAAGTCTTGGCTGCATTGACAGAAAATCAAATAAAACTGACTTAAGCAAACAGAAAGTGTGTTATAAATATATTGGATATCTCATAGAAATCAAAGCTGCCAGCGAGGAACAGCTAGAATCTAGGATTCGAACACAAGCAGGAGACTCTGTTCCTCTGGGTGCTCTTATCATTTGCTCAGAAGTCCACTTTTGGACTAACCAAGATGGCTAGCTGAGTGGATGTAATAGCATACCTGCTATCAGTGAAGTAAATATATGGAATGGGGAATGTGGAACAGGAAGAGGGTACTGTTTTCAGAAGAAGTAAAAAAGGGTATTAAACAAAGCAGAGATGTCCACCTCGTTGAAAAAGTAGTGAAGAAGCAAGACAGAGAAAATGGCTTGTCAAGTTTCTTGAATATTTAGACATAACAAAGATCAGTCAGCATCAAGGGTCAACTACTCTCCCCCATTATAAAGAAATACGCCTTTGTTCAGGGACATCATTGCAAGGATGTACCAACAAACGGCAACCTGTAAAATCCTTGGTCTATAGTGCAGTGTTTAATTGCTAATATTCTTTGTGCACTCATCATGTACAAAGTACTCTTCTAGATTCTGGGATACGGGGAGGGAGTTACAAAGATGAATAGTTCCTTCCCTTAAGGAGTTCATACTTTAGTAATCTGTAGAAGGTAAAGGGAGCTGTACTGACTGGGTCAACATAATGTAAGGATTGATCATTTGTTATGAAGCAAATCCTGAAATCATATTCCATCATTTTCTCTAAAGAATAAATTGTGGTATCTAAAAAAAAAATACATGCTCTATAGATGCCACAATTGGTGGTCTGAACTAAGTTTTCAGTCTGTCAGACATCCTCAACCATACCCTACATGCTGGTCACACAGACTGGTTTTAGCTGGAGACTAACTGGAATTTGTTTCTGTCTCTCTCTTTCTCACTCGCCTTCTGGGGAAAGACCAGTGACGAAAGAGGAAGGTAGGTTAGTTTGAATAAGTGATGTTAAGTGTACTTTCATTTACTAATATTAATATTAATCTTTAAACCTAGTTTTTAAAAGTTGGGGAGGCTGAGGGGAAAACGGGTTGGTGTGAGAGGTTTGACGGATACCAGCAGGTGGCGCCTGTCTCCTCCGCGGAGATTACAATGTTTTATTTTCAGCCGAGAATCCTGCAGGAATTAAGTGAGACTATGCACACAATCAAAGCAAGGATATAAATCATGCAGCCTTTAGGGAAGAAAGACTTTAAATCCATGAAATCAAAAGTTCTAGCCTGTTACCCAGGCGTCACCTTTCCGCTTTATCACTTAAAAGACTGGCCCTCCTACATTGAAGGTCGTATTATTTTCGAACTTGACTCGCATTCTCATTTCCCTTAGCTAAATTGTTCAGTGATGATCAAACCATGGATATCGAACAAAAATAACGGCCCTAGAAAGCTGGAGCTGAAACTTAGGAAAAGAGTGGGACTTTCCCAATCTTCCAGCTGGTCTGCCCTATGGTGTCAGATATTCTGTCGCCTCTGGTGAGCCAGCCTTGGTCTGGGCAGAGTATGCAAGTGGCCATGTCGGTTCCCAGGCCCCAGAAGGTCAAGAAGGTGCACGAAGACACACGGACAATACCTGTGCGCAGGCGCAAACTTCTAACCGTTCCTTGCACCACTCAATTCCGGGGCTTAGTCAGTTAATAGCCAGCCCCTCTCTCTTATGACAGTGGATTCCGTCCACCATAAAAACTCCCCTCATTTTGAAAGTTCTTCCGGTCTGTGTCTGGTTTCATACTTCAGAAACGCTCAGGGACCCTTCTGCCCAACTTCTGTTTGCTCTGGGGTTCTGCCAGGGACTATACAGGAAGGAGGGCAGCCCTAGAGTGGAGGGCTACAAATTCAAATCCAGCTTGACCTCTGAGTTGCGTGGCTTGCTTTAGACAAGTTTCTTATTTTTCCTCTCATGGGGCTCCTGGATTCATGTGATAATGTAGACTACCCAGACCAGCGTTGGCTCATTGTCGGCGCCCAGATGCCAGGGGTCGTCTGTTGGCTTACCCCTACAGTGAAAAATTGTCTTGGGGATCGCTGAGTCAAAAAGCGTGATACAGTTCGCATAGTTGAGATAATCTCTCACCTCCCGTGATCTCACCGTATTTCAAATCCCATCTATTGCCTCGCCGCCGTCTTCTCAGACCCCCTAAAATCTCTTCTTCCCTAAAACACCCTGGGCATCAAAAAGAAACCCAGGGGCGTTCGGCGTGTAAATGAAAGAGAACCCGCGTGCAGACGTCCAGCCCCCCACAGCCGGGATTGGCAGGCCGCGCGAAGCGACGCAGCGGGGGCGGCGGAAAGCTCGCGGCTGGGCTGACAGCTTGGGGGAAGGAGGAGGAGAGAGCAGGCGGCGGAGGAGGGGTGAGCCACACAGAGGAGGGAGCAGGGGCGGGAGGAGACACATGCGCGCTGCCTGCCGCCGCCGCGGCTGCAGTACTTAGCTTCCTGGGGACAGGAAACCTTCGCGACCGAGCTGCCACTGCCGCCTCCCCGTCCGCCCCCCACTCCGCGCGCTTGCCACACCCTCTTCTTCCAGCATCCTGCTTGGAGCACTGCAGGCTCTCGGCCGAGCTGCCGTATCCCCCTCCCGGGGGAAAGCTGTGACCCCCTCCCCGCAGGAGCGGCGGGGCGGGGTTGGGGGGGGGGTGCGGGAGAAGATGGCGACGCCGGGAAGCGAACCCCAGCCTTTCGTTCCTGCCCTCCCGGTGGCTACTCTGCACCCACATCATCATCCCCACCACCAGCACCATCAATACCACGCAGGAACCGGGTCCAGCGGCGGGGTCGGGGGAGGCGGCGGCGGCGGCGGCGGCGGCGGGGTCTTCAACCTGCCCTTGAACCGGGGGCTCGAGCGCGCCCTGGAGGAAGCGGCCAACTCCGGGGGGCTGAACCTCAGCGCCAGGAAATTGAAGGAGTTTCCCAGGACAGCAGCCCCTGGGCACGACCTCTCTGATACCGTGCAGGCAGGTAAGAAAGGGTCGAGGGCCGGCAGTGGACGTGGGTAGCTGTCTGTCGTGCTTTCCCTGGCGCTGTGGCCAGTCTGGGATCCGGTGTCGCTGGGCGTCTGTCCATCGGCCAGTGTTCTCCCGAGTAAGGAACCCGCGTGGGCGCGGGAGAGGCGGGCCCGGCAGAAGGCACGGTGGCCACCGCCTCACCCGGAGGCCGGCGTAGAGCGCTGGAAGAGCTGGGGTGCGCCCGGCCGCTGTGCCCGAGAGCGCGGGTCTCGGGCCACGCCGGGGAAGTGGCCGCGGGGCTGGGACTTGCGGGCGCTCTGCGGGCGCGCAGTGCAAGTGGGAGGTTTCAGGGGGCCGCGTCGGCTTCCTGGGTCTCAGGCAGGGGCCCGGGAACCCGAGCGCCGCGTTTGCGCCTCGCCCCAGGGCAAGCCCTCCTTGCGCCGAGGCGTCGCCCGTCCTAACGCAGACACCTAACAAAGGTGGTGCGCCCTGGGGCGACCTGCGGGCATCGGCGTGATGCGGTGAAGTACCCCTGAGAAGTCGTGGAGAGACCGGGCAACTTGGGGAAGACGCTAGGACGGGAGGAGGCTTCCTCTTCCTGCGCCTGTGCGGGGAGAGGCGCTGCGATCGTCGCGAATCCGTACCGGCAGCCACTTTGCAGGCGGTCGGCGCCCTTGTTCTTTGCCTTTAGCTAAGCCGCCCACACGGTTTGGTTCTTACCTCGGAGGCTGCCTAGTTCTCAGTTACCCGATCTTTGCGGGGTCCTAAAAGGAACGGCATAGCATATTTAAAAAAAAGTAAAGTGAGCAGGTTTTCCAGTGTGAGCCTGACAAGTTGTAACTCGCGCCAAAGAGCAGCCAATTTTTTCAAGTTCTGTCATGTGTAGACAAATTTCCGAGACTTCTTCTTTCTCTTCGTTAGTTAAGAGTTACTGGAGCGGGATCTATAAACAGGAAGGAGGGTGGTGAAACGCGATTCGGGCCTTGGGATTCTTACAGAACTGACTTGGTTTCCTACCGTCGGGCTCAGCTCCTCCGGGGGTGGGGTGTGTGGGAGGGAGTTGTATCTAGGCAAGCGCCCAACGTATTCCAGAATAGTGGGTGCCCCATTTGGGAACTTCTCCGCAAGCCTCCTGTCTGTCATCACCTCACGGACCGGGTGTCAGACTCCTTGGATAGCTGGTTTGACACTCAGCTATCTCCCAGTTTCTTTTTGTGGGGGCGAAGCAGAAGCAGTCGGCTTAGGGAGCTAGATTTCCGGTGCCGTTTCCCTCCTTTAATTCAATAAACATTTTCTAGAGTCTTAATGAATGTTTAGACAAAGTTCTGAATTCACTGGAGGCAAAGAGGGCGGCTCTTCAAGGTCATGAAACTTTGTAATTTGGGTTTAGGGATAGTCAGAACCGGCAAAAAGGAGGGAATTTCCAGAGTTGAGCTGTCAACAACTGGGGAGTCTCTTGATAGGATCTCTTAGTTACATTTTCTCAAGTGGAAGTTATTCCAAGAATTGCCTCAATCATTAACTTAAAAAAGTTAAGTTATAGTACTCTTTTGACATAGAGTGTACCATGAACTATGAAAGGGTTGGATATGAGTGCAGAAAATGGAGTTGGAATGACCAATAATAACAGGTGTTTTTATGTTCAGTAGGGGGACTTGAGGTTGTTTACCTGCTTCAGTTATGCTGATGTTTATTACTAAACTTGGGTAAATTGATGTGTCTGCTGTGTTGGCATTTCTTTGAGAAGACCCGTGTTTTTAAAAGCATAGACCACCTCTCTCAGTTACGACCTTGCCATGTGAAGTAAGTGCTTAAAAATATTCCTGTTCTCTTCTCTTCCTTGCTTGTTGGTGAGCTTAGGTTGTTTTGTTTTTAAATTACGAACCTTACTTGCACATGTTTAATACTCAGAAAATTCTAACTAGTGAAAACTCAGAGGCTTAACATTAACTCCCTGTCAAAAAATGTAGTATTAACTGTGGGAAGGGAATGCTACCAAAGTGTGTAGAAACTTAGAACAACCCAATAAAGATAAAGAGTTCTGTGTAGCTAGCTATTTTACATGAAATTTGACTACCCCAATGTGTTAAAAAGTTGCTTCTGCACACATCTTCGCCTTTGGTCAAAAGCTGGGTGTAAACCAAATGTATTCTGCCCTTTGTTCTAAAGAAGTATTTACTGAGCACTGTTATTTGGAAGAACAAAAATCAAAATAGAGCAAGAGTTAAAATTACCTCCACTTTTCACAGTGTTGACATTTCCTACATGTAAAGAGTCTCGTGGAGCAGAGAGTGAGTGGTAACATATACAGTACAGTAAAGATAGTGGTTTCTCCTGGGTTAATATTTAGTTTACAGACTATTGTTTAGAATCAGAATGTCACAATGAAGATCCTTAAAGACCTAAGATGTAAAGTGTACTTTTTCATTAGTTTTGTAAGACAGGAAGTGATATAGAAAGCTTTTTTCTCACTGTTCAGCTGTATAACGCAGGCCAACATGTTCATGCCTTGTGACAGTAACTCTCCTTGGGCAATGTAGCTTATCTGAATGGGGTTGAAAACCCAGATGTCAGCACAGAAACACAGAGGCCCTGGGCGGCTCAGTTGGTGTGTAAGCTCTGTCACTCAAGTACTACACATTTTTCTGTGTATGAAGGAAATACACAGAGGGGAAAAAACCTCTCAGGCTCTTACTTTGAACCTACTGATTTACTCAGATTTGAGTCAAAAGAGTTTGCTGCCCTTTTGTAGGTGAGAAGGGGAAGAGGCTGAGCCATGCAGGTGTGGTGGCGCAGGTGGCGCTGGCTGAATGGGAGAAGTGTGGCCAAAGGAGCCACATGGCACTTTGTGCGTGCATTTCCCTCTGTGCCAAGTACTGAATCTACATTATTGCACCTGATACCCATCAGAAGCCCTTTAGTATCCTCATTTTTAGCTAGGAAGATTGCCATGGAGATAAGTCAGGTAATGTGCTCAAGGTCATACATACACCTACTTAGGCAGTGGAGCAAGGACTGGACCCTGATGGTTTCACTTGAGAATTTAGGTTCTTGACCGGATTCCTATTAAACAGGAAAGGGGTAGAGAGAAGTAGAATCTGGGAGGCTGTCTGGAGGCTCATTCAACCAGTGTGCCAGCCACCATTCTAGGTACCGGGGATACAGCAGTGCCCAATAGAGCTTCTCTATATCCCTTCTTAGGCAGTTTTCATTCTAGTTAGACGGGGATGGGAGAAAAATGAAGAAATTGATTTTGCAGAATGAATAGTAAGTGTTATAGGATAAACATAGTATCTTGGTTTTAGAAATATACAAGGTGACCTGAGATGACTTGTAACAACAAGAGCATAATAATAAATATAAGAGCAAGTAATGAATATAAACTGAACATAAAACTGGGCCCACACACAATTAGGTGCATCAGGAAAGCAAACTGTTTTTCTAGGGCTGATTTCTTAAGTAGGGTCATTTTGGGATGCAGACACTCAAAACGGTATGAAAATATGACTGAAAACAAGCAGACTGAAAAGAAGTATATGAAAAGAAAGGTTTGTGTTAGGCTGATTGCAGGAGGGTCTAGAAAATAAAAAGGAAGCCTTTGGACTTGGTGTGCAGCACAGTTATTGAAGGTTGTTCTTATTGAGGAGAGAGTGGAGTGCATCATTGCAATATCTTTGAGGTGGCTGGACCCAGGAAGACTATATGGGAAGAGCTTACCCAGGCAGAAATATAGAAGTGCAGCATAAAAAAATACTCACCGAGATCCCATGTGTGTGATTGCCGTGTACAACAGGAGGTGCAGAAGGCAAGACAAGACAGGAATGCATGAGACACTAAGTAACAGTTCTGGGAAACCAGGGAAGCCTCAAGACAGGTCCGAGTGAGATGCCAAATGGCATAGGTAAACATTGTCAACAAAATTCAGAGGAAGAGGCCATTTCAGTTAAGCTGATTTGGAGAGACTTTCGTAGCAAAGGTAGGATTTGGGTCTGGTTGTATGGGATGGATAGGTTTGGAATGGAAGTGCCCACAAACATTCTGTGGTTGGGGAGATGGTTCCAGGATAGAGAGTGAGAACCTGACAGGCTAAGATTTGTGAATAAAAAATAAGAGAAGTCATTTAAATCTGTACCTCTGGTTATATCTTCCCACCCCACTAGCCACCATATAATGGGGTAACTGAATGCCAGGTTATTAGGACTCAGTTTTAAGGACTCTGGAGATGGCTAAGGCCTGGGATTTGTCAGTCTATAGGACTGGTGCCCTGGCGTGTCTGCGTTAGCTCACTCAAATGGCTGTCCAGATTAAGAGAATTTTCTCTGAGATTTGTGGGCAGGCTTATCTGCTGAAGACATATTTCTGCACCGCACTCCCATCCTACAGCAACCGAGTCCTTGGGATATTAGCACGCTTTAGTCATTGGAATTCAGGACTTGATAAGTCTGTTCATTCTGAAGAACATGTTCTCTTTCATAATTTTGGCATAAGGGTTTTCACTGCAAATGTAATGAAACTTTTTAAATCATTCTGTTTTCTTAAAATGTGTGTTTTTTTATATCCAGTTTCAAGTTATTTTTCAGCTCTGAATTAAATTTGTTAACAGCTCTGTCATTTATTGTGGTAATCACTATCATATGATATCTGTATTCATTACACATATTCCACATACTTCTCCATTCATGAACACTTAGTCATGCCGTTTTCTTTCTGATTATTAATTTTTCTTCTGTTGATACATTTCTTCTTTGTTAAGAGGTTTGGAATGGTAGAAGACTTCAAATAGTAGAAGCTTTTAGAACAACTAGGACTCTATATGGTGGCTCCAATCAGGTCCAAAGATGCTCTTGCACGTGTCTGTGGCTGGCAAAACCAGTCTCCACAAAGGTGCTGCTGTCGTCATTGGTTGTGTTACAGGCTGCACTTTATCAAAAAGGTAGGGGCACACTAATCATGTTTCTAGAATAATAGCTAAAGGTATGGGCCACAAAACCTCTGGGAATTTTTGGTCTGTGC